ATTTAAATGATAATTTACTTTATATATATTGTATGAACTTTTCATTTCTTTTAAATAAATGATAACAAATGGTTTACTTTTTAGTTCAATTTTTATTATATCATTGTTCATAACTAAATAAAATTGGGCAAAAACTTTCCCTCTTAAAAATGCTTTCAATTACAAAAAAATGTACCATTGAAGAGACTGTTTGCAATTGCTCCACAAGGCAAAATAGCTACACTTTCCAGTTCTCCTGTTCTATTGGTTTCTTCAAACTGGTATGGGGCACACTCTTTTGCTGGCTCAGTTACTTTTTGGCCTAACAGTTGAAGGTCATCTCGAGAGTTGACATAACGGCGATGATTCTGATAATAGTTTTCCAGGCGGTAGTAGATATACACTTGTTTCTGATAAACATTTAAAAATCAAATTAATTTTGAGATAAAAAAACTTAACATGTTGCCCTCTACTAAAAATGTGAAAATTGTAGAAACAACATAAACCCCTGGTTCACATCAAAAGGATTATGGGGTTGCCAAACCATGTACAGAAACACTCTTCCTTCTTGGCTTGGCTCTCCTCCTGTATATGTTTATGAGAAAATTAATATATTATTACTGTTTTTGTTTAAAAAGTTTATAAATATTCCTTGTAAAGTAAGCAATTACCCTCCTGTAGATGGCAAATCCCATTTGCTGTTGGTTTGGATATTTAATTAAAATAAAATAAAATTATAAGTTTAAGTATGAAGCAGAATACACTAGTTTGTTGAAGGTGTCAATATTAATACTGTAAATTTAAATCCAAAGAGATAGTCTAGATATAACATTATTACTATTGTATTCACATCTTACTAATCAGTGGCGTACCCAGGATTTCAAGGAGGGTGCTGAACAGTAGAAGGGACATATAAATAAGAAAGCAAGAATTTTGTTCAGAAAATGGACTTTTCATGACAAATTTATCCTTGTTAATGTATAAAGTAAACTTAGTTTGCCATTTACTGCCATTAATATACTATTATTGTTTCCACATTTGAACAAGTCATAAGTGGTGTTGGTAGAAGTGGTGGTGGTGGTGGTGTCAGCCAGCCACAGGGGCAACAACAAGTAATACTACCAGTTTTAAATTCATGACACGTACTTTATAATCCTCTGTCAAGTTGAAAGGAATCTTACATATGCAAGTATTTCCAAGCTCTGTCACATTGGTAAAAAACACAGGACAAGTCTCTCCATTGTCTTGCTCACAGTCGGTGTAATTTAAGATTTTCTCCTTCACCTACAATTAAAAACATTCCAGTGGACAACATTGATTTCTGTATATTTATACAGGTCTGAAATGCAACAATATACATACAATGCTAATTTTCTGAAGCATCTTTACAGGACCTTCAATATATAAAATGTTCCTGTTACTTTTCCATAACATGTTTCAAAGGTAAGTTGGATAATGTTAAGCAGAGTTATTACACATGTTGTGTTAAAGAGAGATTGGAAAGTGATGTAAAATAGTGATTACCTGCATTGAGTTTTTCTTACATTGAAGTTGGGTTGTTTAATTAAAATAGATGTAAACTCACATTGTTTGACGTAACAAGAAATCCAACACCAAGAGGTATGAAGATAATTCCCACAATGAAGAATGCTGGTAACACTGTCCCAGCTGTTAAAATTGGCTGCCATGCAGGTAACCTCTGCTGTTTGAAAGCAGTATCTGTATTGAAGACAAAAAAGTAAATAATATAATCTTTCTGAATTAATAGCAAAGTACAACATATGTATTGTTATGAAAGATTGTTGAAGTTATAGCCCTAGTACTGAACTGCCTAACAATAGTAAGTATGCCTACTCAATGCACTTAAAAAAAACACATTTCTCTGAAAGAACTGATGATGTTATGCTCTTCAAAAGAAAAAAAAAACAAAGACAAAGCATTTATCCATTAAGATAGTTCATTATACACAGCAAAACTAACATTCTGACATACCATGAAGGAATAAACCTCAATGGAAATACACTGTACCAAGTAGTGCTTAAGATACAAGAGCAAGCGAATGGATGTCGGTTCGAGAAGATGCAATTAGTGGAAACTATATTCAAGGGTGAAATTATACAAAACAAATGATGAGACCATTGTTTGTTTCCCGACACGATAGCATGCATTTCGATACTTGGATTATACTATCTTATTCCAGATTAATCAGTGGACATTTCGGTTCTTGTTTGTATTTTAGATTGATTGAAATTGTTTTTTTGGGGTTTTAATCTGGATCTGGACAATTAATCGGTAACTTTTTTTGGAGCATCACACCAATTGGGTCAGAGTTGCAGTCTCTCAGGTTGCCAGGAAAGTGAAAAATGATAGGAATATAATATTTAATACCAAATGCACTGTGTAACTAAGGTTTTCAATGGTTTTTGGTAATTAAATAATAATTCCATGTTTTCAATTACATTCCTGCCAAATCTGACCACCACCGCTAACAA